CCACACTAAGAGCTCCAACTGGGGAGACCCCCTTCTCTCTCGCATTTGGAACTGAGACAGTCATCTCTGTGAAAATCGGGGTGCACTCTCTAAGGGTCCAACACCAATGAGGAAGGACTTCGCATTAACCTCGATTTGGTAGAGGAAGCAAGAGAGATGGTTGTGGTCCGCAACGTGGAGTACAAGCGCCGTATGACAAAGTACTACAACTCGACCACCTAGGAGACTTGATCCTCAAGAAAGTTATCCTCGCCACAAGGATTCACGGGGAGGAAAGCTAGGACCAAATTGGGAAGGACCCTACCTCATAATAGAGGTGGTGAGGCCAAGCACTTATAAGATCCAGAATTCTGAAAGGAAAGTCTTACCCCATCCATGGAACGCGGAACACTTGAAGAGGTACTACCAATGACACCTTGAGATAGTAGAAAAGTTGAGGACTTGGTTTTATTTTTTGTACTCTTTTGTGGGGCTATTACCCGATATTGCCTTATATAAGCAGAAAAATGAATAAAATTTTAGATATTTACTTCAAAAAGATCTTTGCATTTTCATATTCAACTTCTCAAACTTCAAAGTAGCATCAGCAGCAAAAACCACTTTTACAAAAGTATGGCTACAATATGCCTTTTCAAAAAAAAAAAAAAGCCCAACACACAAACTACTCATGGTCATCATCCTCCTCCTCATCATCCTCGGCGTCGTCAGAATCTCCACCACTGTCATTTGGAGCCTCAATTGGCAAGAAGTCTAAGACGTCAATATCGGGAAAAACGGCGAAAAACTTTCCCCGAAACTCCTCATAACCGTCAATGAAGGCGTCTACAAGGCCACTCTCAAAGTCCCTCTCAACTATCACAGCCCTATCCTCAGCCTGGGAAGCCCTCTCCTCGCCCTGTGAACCCCTCTCATGAGTTGACTTCACCTCTACCTCTGCGGTAGCCTTTCTGAGTATGGCCCTCTCACAGACCTCTACAAGCTCAGCCTCGTGCTTGGCCGCCCTCCCATAGGTCGCCGAAAGCTCAGCCTTACTGAGCGTGGCCCTCTCACAGACCTCAACAAGCTCAGCCTCGAGCCTGGACACCCTCTCATGGGTCGTCGAAAGCTCAATCTCAAGACCAGCCGCCCTCTCACGGGTTGCAGCAAGGTCAGCGTCAAAAGCCTTGCCAGAAGCTTCAAGCTCGGTGATCCTCCTCTGAGCAGCAAGAAACTCATTTTGCACCACTTCATGATCGAGCTTCAGCTTGTGATAAATGAGGGTCCTTGAAAGTAAACACATAACTGCAGTGGAGGCTTAAAGATAAACAAAAGGCAAAAGAATGTCAGACACTTATGGAAGGGAGAAAGGAGAGAAAATAAACTCTCACTTGAGCCCAGCTTTTTAGGAAAGAGCTAAGAATTCCCTCTGTACCCAAGGCACCAATCTCATCCACATCCTTCTTGCACAAAAATAACCTAAGTCGATCCTTGATGACCAATGCATTACCTAACATGGAGTAGATATGAGAGGGTACTCTGCCAGGATTCCCCATAGGAGGAGTGGATGAATGAGGGGTAAAAGGTGTGGCCAGTAAACAAGACTCTATAGTGGAAGGTCCAATTGAGGAGGCGCCCCTAAAGGAGCCACTTTATAGGAAGGTGCCGAGGTACCACTTGAGGAGTTAACTGAGGAGAGCTCGCCTCAGGCGGCACAGTTGGAGAAGTCACCTAGGAGGTATCCCCCTTCCTCGCCACCTTAGAAGGAGGGGAACTCCTACTAGAAAGACAGGACTCAATCATCTCCTTATCTACTGCTCCAAAGAAAATAAAAGTGTTACCTAGATGAAAAGTACCAAGTGAAAAAAGAGGGTGCAGAAGAATCAACATACCTTTCCTTTTCAAGGGGGGGCTGCTAGACCTTGGAGAAGGACCACTGGCACCAACGGAAGAGGAACCAATAACTCCTCCACCCCTGGGCATGAGAACTCCAAAGTCCCTTGAAAAATAAGCTTTCACAGCGTGTAGCTTCCATTCTTGGTCTGTGGAGAGCACAGGAGCACCTGTAAGGAATATAGTGAGAACACAGCCTACAGAGAATGGGGTAATAGAGGAATAAGAATGTAAGACGTACCAACTTTCTTTAGAGCTTCCCATTGTACCAACACCTTATTAGCATCTGAAGCCTATTCTCCACCGACAAATATGAAGCGAGATTTTCAACTATGACATTTAGAGGGTAGTCCGGGAATCAACTTGCCTCCCCTCGTGGTAAAATAATACCCACCTCGGTTAGGAGAAGGAGTTTCACTTGGGTAGTAAGCTACATGGAATACCTCAGGAGAAACATCCTCATGATGCACCCTCTTCCATAATGCTAAGAAAGTCAACAACATTCTCCAACCGTTGGGTAGGGAAAAATAGTTCAAAATGCCACAAACGGGAGAAGGCATTGGGAACCTAAGCCCAGCCTCAAGCACCTCTTCATAAATAGTAATGTCACTAAAGGAGTCATCGCAAGCAGGCTCACCCATCTCGACTTGATGACATAGCACAGTCGGAGGAATATAATAGGTGGAGGCAATCCATAAAATATCACTGTCTGAATTTAAAGTGCTAGAGATAGAACTTACCTTGGACTCATCATCATCAAGAGCTACCTTACCTCGATGTTTTTTGACGCGAGGGCGTAAAGCTTTGTCCGAGACAGAAAGGTCTCTAGGAGAATGATTTTGAGAAACAACGTTTGAAGAAACTTGAGCAAGCTGCTCGTCCAATGTTACCCGCCCCGCTTGCTCACCTAGGGTGCCCAGCACAACAGGTTGTTGGCCTGGTCTGCTCGTCCAGGTTGCCTAGCGCAGTAGGCTGTTGGCCCGATCTGCTCAGCGCAGCAGGCTGCTCTGTCCATCTAGCCTGCTCACCCAGGCTGCTTAGCACGATAGGCTGCTCGCCCAGGCAGACCACGCGCCCAGGCAAACCGCCTACGCTGTCCAGAATCAGCGCAGCAGGCTGCTGGCCCGATCTGCTTAGCGCAGTAGGCTGCTCAGCACGATAAGTTGCTCACCCATGCAAACCACGCGCCTAGGTAGCCCGCCTACGTTGTCCAGACCTGCACCCTATGTGAGCTCAGTAGTCCCCCGCTCCTACACGCCTAGCCTTGCTCCCAATCTGCTCGTTGCTGCTCAGATCGGAGTCCTAGACAACACACTGCATGACTAAACGGGCCAAACCAGCGCCCTCTCTGTGCCTGCCGCCTGCCGTGAAAGCCACATGCCAACCTAGACCATTGCTCAGCCCACCTCCCTCTCTCTCGGCTTCTTCCTCGTTGAGCAGCGCCCAAGGTGCCCCATCCTCAGTACTTTCTTCGGCCACCACCGTACCAGCAACTGCCTTATTACCTCCCTCAAAGTCGGCTACTCCATCATCAGGGCTCCCCATTATCTCACTCCTAGACAATGAATGTTTATGAGAATGCACCTCAAGAAAAAACTAGCCTTGGGTCTCCAAGAAATCTCAAGAAAGAACACCCTCTCAAGATTGTGTGAAGTGGGTAAAATGAAGAAGGAAGCCTCTATTTACACTTAGGGTTTCTTGGAATCAAGAAAAAAAAACCAAAAAAGCCCTAAATTGGACCCTAGGGCTTTTCAAAAAAAAAAAATGAAGGGAAGGAAGGAGGTTATATAGTCAATAGGGTTCTGCAAGCAAAAGGAGTTCACTGGAAGGGATGGGGTTGCCGATCAAGAGAAGTTTTCGAAAAATTTGGATTTAAAAAGGTCCATACGCTATTTTGACCATAACTTTTGATCCATAACTCCAAATGGGGCCCATAATATGTCAAAACGAAGCTCTCGAAGAGATCTACAAAAGTCACTACCAATGGCAATGAACGACGCTAGAAAAAGCCCAAAAAAGGCCTGGAAGTATATGTTTTGGCCTCTCGAAGTTTTTTCAATTTTGCCGTTCGGCCGAAAATCCAAACTCAACTGAATGCCCTCATTTCAAAGTTTCTTAAACGCAGGGCATTGAGGGGCAAATGATGGGTCAAGCCCGAGGGCCCAACTCATATTATAAGCTCGGTCTAAATTAATAACTCAATTCCAAGAGTCCAAATCTATAAAGATCCAGCAGGCCCAATGAGGCTCAGGCCCAATCAAGCCCAACAGGGAGCTACACCACCAATAAAGCATCAGGTGAGGAAAAGAGAGGTCATCCTTGTAGCTTGGAGTGAATCAACCTCCCACATCCTTGCCGGTTGAGGAGAGGAGGGGTCGAGGAGAGGAGAAGTCGCCAAAGGATTTAATTATTATTAAATGACCCCAACTATGACCGTCAGACTAGCTATACAATTACAACGCAGATGACTATAAATTGTAAGCTCCCCCAACACTTGGGGGGCATCTCACAAGATCAAAGCTCCTATCTTTTCTCTTGTAATTCTCTACTCTCTCAACATACCGGAGTTAATAAAATTCTCGACGGATTTAGTCATTGAAAGTGGAGGTAGATTTTGTTGATCGAACCACTATAAACATTGTTCTCTTTCTTCCTCTACTTATTTTATTGCATTTTATACTACTCATTTGACTAATAATGTGCAAGCTAATTTGTGCATTATCAAAACTCAATACATTCCCCACTTGTGGACATGTCATTATCAGAATGAAACCCTTTATCTGGCAAATCCCGATAAGGTTGAATATCTCTATCATAATCCTTAGACAGACCAGCTGATGATTGTACAGAATAACGATGATCATAAAGAAAAGTAGAATCAAGTTGAGACGTTGACTACTGCCTATTCAATTGATAGTATGACTGCGAAGAGAGCTCTGAACCAGCTGTGGCTTCCAACTGAGCAACGCCACACTTATCTACTCTATCTAATGAACAATCAGCAGGTGGTTGCATAATGTCCTCAGTCAAACCCTTAGAAGCTCCTGCGATCTCCTTAGGAAGATCATGTAAATAATTCTGCTGAACTGATGCAGCGGCAAGATCAGGTTCCACTCCCTGATTATTAATATGATGCTTGGGGAACGTATTTCCTGTTGCTGAATTTTCCAAATGAAATCCAGCGTGAAGCACCTGAGAGTCTTGCACTGAATTCAGAACTGGCCCTGATTGACACTGCAAATCTGTTGCATGATCATTTTGAAAACTAAAAGAACCCACAGCATTCTCTTTTCCTGAAGACTCCATTAAAACCGTTGGAACAGATACCACTTCTTCTTGATTCTGAGTCTGTAATGGTGCTGAAAGATTATCCTTTCTGGAATGATCTTCCTACTCCAAAATTCTAACAGAATTATCCAACTGTGATTGATGAGAAAGAGAAATGTTCCCCTGATTGTGTCGTACTTGGACAGACTGCCCCTCCTTCAGAACTTCTGTGACGATAGTTTCTCTATTTGCTTCATCCAAATGCCTCTTATTTGATTTGATGGGATGGATTTCCTTCGAACCTTCTGATTCACATTTTGCTGCTTATCAAAAACGGATTTAGATCCCTCCATTACCCCTTCCCTTCAATTTTCCTCAATACATGCTAGATGAATGACGCGTGTAAGATTTTAAATTTCAATGGATAAGATGTTTCCTTATTCACTTTTGTTGTTGGTGGAGTGTTAACCATTATTAAGGAATTTTCTTATAAGAAAAAAATCTTATCCATTAAAATTCAAAATTTGATACGTGTCACTCATCTAGCGTTGTATTAAGGAGAATTGAAGGGAAGGTGTAATGGAGGGGATCTGAATCCATTAAAAACTACCTTCTTTCCTTTCTCACTCTGCTGTGGAGGCATTCCTGAATTCTTATCATTAGGACTTCTATCTTTATTGGACTCTTTTAAATCTGCAGGATCACGTTCTGAATTCTTTGGCATACTTGATAATTTCATCTTGCGACATTCCTCCTCCCCATGACCTTGCTTTCTGCATATCTTACAAAACTTCTTTATTCTCTCATAGATGATTTTCTGCCATCGTGCTCCTTCATCCCCCATATCAATCCAAATTCTATGTGGATTAGTAGCTTGGAGATTAACCTCCACACAAACTCTCACTACACCTGGTCTAGATAATGACAGTGTGGCTTGATCATAAGCCAAAATTCTGCCTATTGGTTTTACCAGCAACTCCAAATATGATTTCTTGAAAAAATTCAATAGAAATCCACAAAGACACAATTGAAGGCTCAATACCAGGCACAAATCCAGAAAACCATTTGCAGAATCTAAACAGGTAATCTTCAATCAAAGTTGCATTTTTAAGCCAAGTTTTCACATAATCCTGAAGGATATGCCTCTGATCAATAGATCCAACTTCAAAATATCCTCTCAACTTCCATTTGGATCTAATAACCTCCTTGATGACCCCTAGTGAAGGTCTTCCATATGACCATTTGCCAATCAAGGCATATTCCAAGGACTGACAAGAATCTTTAACCTCCTCATTGGTAAAATAAAAGGCTGGCTCCCCTTGATAGAACACAACTGGTTTATCAATTTTTGGTAGAACATCTTGCTTGGACTTAGATTGATGATTGAAAAATGAAGCAAAGGATGGTTGAGCGGCCAATGGCTTGGATGAGAGATGAAGATCATTTGGACTTGAATCTAGCTGCTGCGCACTGAAATCTGGATGTTTTGGAAAAGAATCTGTAGGTTTTAATGATTGATCTATTATTTTTGGGATTGGATCTGGTGGTTTTGGTTGAATAAGGTGACTTGGTGATGAACTCATGAAATAGGAAATTCTAGAAAGAAGTCAGAGCTTCTCTCTCTAGAATTGTAAAAAAAGTTGAACCCTCTAAACCCTCTCCTCAAAGAAGGACTTAATGAAAACATACTGAAAGTGAGAGTGAATCAGATGAGTCGGGTGCTGATGACTCTGAACAAGAAGTTAGGAGGAGCCGAAAGAGGAAGTCCAAGAGATGGCCAAGCAGGCGAAGCAAGAGCAACAGGAGTAGCAGTAAGAGAAAAAGTAGTAGTAGTAGAAGGAAGGATAGGGATAGTTATTCGGATGAAAGTGAGAGTGAACAAAGTGAAACTGAGGTTTCTGATGCTAGTCAATTATCCGAGGATGGTGTAAGATCATAGAAGCTGAAACGCTCATCCTCTTCGTTGTCAAAGCGCATCAAGAGCAAGAGCGATTTGAATGAGAGTTCCGATGGTGAAGTAGATGCAAAAAGTAAGGAGAATGATGATGAGGTGAAGACCAATGAATTTGACAGCGAGCTCTTTATGTTTAAGAGATGATTGAGTTGCAGAAGAAAACTGCTATGGATAATGAACCGGTGGTTGGGCCAGTGCCATTGCCGAGGGCTGAAGGACATATTAGCTATGGTGGGGCACTTAGGCCTGGTGAAGGTGATGCCATTGCTCAGTATGTTCAACAAGGGAAGCGTATTCCACATAGAGGTGAAGTGGGTCTTTCAGCTGATGAGATTTTGAAGTTTGAGAGTCTTGGGTATGTAATGAGTGGTAGTAGGCATCAGAGGATTGTTGGGATTTCACACGATTTAAATTCACTAACAAACACGCACAATCGAAGAACAAATCAAGAATATAAAGCAATAAAAAACAAGAAAAAACAAGACACAGATTTTACGTGGTTCGGCAATTTGCCTACGTCCACGAAACTGCAGGGATTTCACTATTGAGAGAGTTGAATACAGAGAGCGGCTGTACAATCCACGATTAATCCTAATCACCAAAACAACAGGGTTTATATGTCCTACACACTGGGCTGTATAACGGGCCCAAAAAAATTTTCCTCAGTCTCCGAAAATTTTTCATTAAAAAATCACACAACATTATTTTGGATCGGGTCATCATCCGGATCACATATACAAACTAGACTCCATAAAAAAAAGCCAACAAGGATGAATGCCATTCGTATCAGAAAGGAAAACCAGGCTTATAGTGCCAAGGACAAGCGAGCTTTGGCAATGTTCAACTATGAGGAGAAAGCAAAGCGTGAGCAGGAGGTTATGGTGTTGGAAAAAAAAATAAAAGTTTTAAAATTTCTCATTTAATTTATGTTATATGTTTTAATGGATCACTTTTAATTTAGGATTTAATTGAGTTTTTATATGATTTAATTGAGTAATTATACTTTGTTTTAATTGGGCATTTGAATGCCTTTATGTGGTGGGGGTTATCAGATGGTGGACTTTAAAAGCCTCTATGGCTAGCATTTTCAAGTATATATAAAAGAAGCTCATATGATCTAATGGATATATATGTTTTTGTAGTATGTATCCTTTTTTCATATATATTGTAGATGTATCTTCCAATTATGTTTTTGGGTAATTTTGATTCGAGTCAGGTTCATCCCTTCCTTCCAATGGGCGTGACCATTGAGGAGGTGCTACTGCGAGTATCTGGGTTTAATCTTAGAGTCGCTAGTGTTTGTCAGTACCCTCACGTGGAGAGGTTTAGTTGCTTTAGGACAGTATTCACACGACTCTCGGACTCGTAGGCCAATTCTTTCTAATTTATAGTATCTATTTTATTCTATTTTAAGTTCACTGTTATTTTGTGTTTGTGTATGTGATATTGATATTTATTTAATAATTAAAATTATGTATAATTATGCTAAGTTTTCCTAACAGATGGTTGATTTGCAGCGTTTGGTGCAACGCCACATAGGGAATGATGCTGGCCCTTCTTATGATCCGTTCGGTGGGGGGGAGAGTGTTGATGCTTGATCTTCATGTATGTTCTATGTTCTTATCTTTATAGGTCATGTTCATTCTATAAGGTAGGAATATTATTTAAGTTAAGCCTGTTGCATATTAGCATGTCTAAGTGTTCGAACAATGTAATGCAAATATTGGTAATACACCAATCAAAGGGAATGGTAATTTGTGGAAACCTAAAGTTTGACAGATATTGCAAGACTTATTTGCAAGTCAAGATGTTCTAACAAAGTACAGTGTTGGAGTTTGTAAGAAATGTGTGCAAATATATTGATAATTTGTTAATCAAGTGGAAATTGAAAAGTATTTCTTACTCATTGTTGTCTATATCTATCTATGACCAAGTGAAAACTGAATTCGGAATTTCCTAAGATTTCTTATAAATTTTTGAATTTTTGAATTTTTTTCTAAAATGAGAAAAATGGGATTTTGAGGGCCTAAACGATGGAATTCGGCGCAAAATTCACAGAACTCAGGGCATAGCCGTGAGTCTTGATCGTTGGACCGATGCGGATCGAAAACCACTGGTCTCAATCTATTCGGAGTCCAAGCCATGTTAGCCACATATTCTACATCATCCCCAATTATTTAAAAATTATAAAAAAAAATATAAAATTACATGAAAATTATTAAAAAAATATAAAACTTCAATCTAACTGATTAAAATAAAGTACGTTTTGTCTAGAGTTTAAAAAGTTGTATGAGTCAACCAGTATCGACCACAACACATGAACATCGTCACTGGAGCAGGCCTTCACATCTTCATACAGGACATATATGCCCCTTCCTGAAATTCAAGATAAAGAAAATGTCATTGATGTGGTTGCATTAAAGAAAAGAAGAAGAAAAAAAACAATAAAAAGAAAGTGGGGAAAAAGAAAAGAGTATAACAATTAATGAGAGAGCATAAAGAAACAGTTGATTATACTGCATAAGAACAAAATGATTTATTTGCCTCTAAATGGGGTAATTCAAGCAAAAACCATCAAGTGAAAAAGAAAACACAATTACTCTGGAAAAATGGAAAGATGGAATTAACCATACGCTTTCTGCGAGACGAGTGTAGCCGATTCCAGAGCTTCTTCAAAGGGGAGAGAAGGGAACGAAGCCATCCCATTTGGAGGGGGGGAGGGTTGTTTGGATATGGTAGGTGAAAGGTTGAAAGGAAATATAGAGATTAATGTGTAACTGTAGGTTTGCTTAGACAAGGGTGAATTCCAGATCAATTTTCCTCCATAAGATTATCTTTTTCACTCCCTTGCATTCCAATTATTCAAGAAATTAAAACACATTTCTGTTGGTGTCAAGTCATTGTCACAGAGTTTCCTCTTTGTAGTAGGAGCTACACCTCTTCTCAGTTAAGCTTCATTCTTCCAAATGGAGTATATCCTTACCTATATTGATACCCTTCCTTAGTGGAGTAATGGGTTGTTTCTTCATTACTTTGTCATATCTATAACTTGTTAATATAATGCCCACCCACTGATTCAAAAGTTTCTTCTTTACTACATAAAATTTCTCCTACAAGACTCATTTGACAATTTGTGTTATTTTACTCAACAATGTCCAGGTGAATAGCACTACAACAAAAGATGGCTTTAACTACACTATTCCCTCCTTATATCACTGTCATGAGCCCCCCTTTCCCCACCCCCAGTGAAAGTAATTAGAATGATATGAACTTTGGGCTTGCTATATAGTCTCACATTGGAAAGTACTGTGAGCTAGCTAGCTCAGCAATCCCTTCAAATGAAGAAAGGAAACCAAATCACCTTTAGCTCAATATTAAACACCATTATCATATCTATATTTATACTACTTATAAAAGAAAACTAAATGTAAAACTTTCGAATACCTAATTTACCCATAAACAATTCTATAAAGTCATGTATGTCCTCTCTGTCATTATAGTAAAGCCCTGTACTCTGTCCCTCTCCCTTCTCCACCGACTAAATGCAAAATCCAAACCGATGTAACCCCCCTCCCCAATCCCTTACTCCTAGCCAAATTCCACCGCACCTTCTACTACCGCCGGTCTAGATATAAGCCGATTCCTCAGGTATCAACCGATTTTTTGTCGTCTGGGGACATCCATGTCGTGGCTTCGTAGTGGCGTTGGCGTTGGCTTTGTTCAGTGGAAGTTGAAAGCGCAGTCCTTCTACAGTAACTGATAGTTACCAATTTCAATAATTGATGCCCTCACTCCTTCTGCCTCTACGTATTATGAGTCTTAGGTGGTGTTTGGTAACCACCTGCTTCTGTTTTTTTTCTTTTTATTTTTTTTATGGCTAATAAAAAATTAAAGTATGTTTGGTGAATATTTTTGTTTTTTCTTAATATCTCCATTTTAAAAATAATGCTAAAATATGGGAACATCCAAAAAAAAACACGCGCACGAAGATTAATGAGGTCTTGACTTTGATCCTCTTTAGCAACAAAAAATGGATTTTTTTGGTGGGGGTATAAAAGGCCATCTCCTTTCAGTTTTCACCCACTCTCTGTCTGTGGTCTCTCTCTCGATGCCCTGTCATCTCTCTCTCTCTCTCTCTCTCTCTCTCTCTCTCTCTCTCTCTCTCTCTCTCTCTCTCTCTCTCTCTCTCTCTCGATGCCAACGACGAAGCCGAAGTTGAAGCCGAAACCATCGCCATCGCCAATCACTGGGAAGCTATTACTCCATCTCCATCTTCATTTCACTCCATTTTTTATGTTTTTGGTCTCTCTCGACTCACACTCTCTCTTTGTCTCTCTCGCATTTCTCTAATGCTGGGTTTTTGGGGTTGGGTGGTGGGTTTTGATGGGAGTTTCAGGTGTGGGCAGTGGATTTCAGTGGTTGTGGTGGTGGGGGTGGGTTGTGGGTTTCGATAGTGGGGGTTAAATTGGGGATGGGTTTCAGTGTTTATGGAGGTGGGTTTTGGTGGTTATGGGTGGCCAGTGTGGTTGAGTGGTGGGGTTTAGGTGGCCATTGGGGTTGGGTTTCGATGGTTATGGAGGTGGGTTTTGGTGGTTATGGAGATGGGTTTCAATGGTTAGGTTTTGTGTTGGTTTTACCGCCTCTGGGTCATTACCTGTGGCTGGGAAGTTGGTGTTGCACCAAACTCAGAGTTCACTGCCTGTGCTGAGGGAGAAGAAGCTTATGATGTTGAGGAGGGAAGGTGGATCACTTGAAAGTAATGGAGATAGATTTATGGCTTGTTGGATTAAAGCCAAAATTCATGTTCATTGTTGATAATTTTTGTTTGTGCAGGATCTTGCACAATATAAACACGAGAACAAATCACTTCCGTGGTGAACACGTGTCCATCAATCGGGTGGTCGATCTTCCTACTTGGAACAGATTGTGAGGGTCGAAGGTGAATCATTTTTATGAGTCACCTGAGTGATCCTGGAAGGCTAAAGGAGGTTCCTGGAACAAAGAAAAACAGGTTAGAAGGGCGCCGGAGTATTTTTCGGCGTATCCCTTTCGATGATCAAATCAGTTCTTTGAGAGAGGGGAAGAAGAAAATATTATATGATGGTTGAGAGAGGGTTTGTTGCGTATCTCTTTTCTGTGTTTGTGAGGATTATTTATACCTTAAAAACTCATCATTCCTGACAGCGTAGCTAGTAGGTAATCATTGGAGATGGGCAGTGTGCACACCAATTTCTATGAGTAATGTTCTTATTCGTAATTGCTCGGGACCCTGAACAACTAATGCTCTCTCCTCGGTCTGCCGATCGTTTAATAATCTTCTCTCGACGGGGGTGTATTAAATGCCCTGCTATTAGGAACATTTATTGCATTTCACTTTGAGGATCTTACGCATTAAATGTTGTCTCATCGAGTGAAGGATGCATTAAATGTCTGACCTTCTAAGCCGTGTGTCAGCAAGGGCATTCAGGTCTTTTTGTCTCTGATCTGACACAATATGCCACGTGTTCATCCCCCTTTGGTTGAGCCTTCTGCTTTCTTGTGCCTTCTGACACCATTTGAGTAAGACGAGGTCATGATGGCTAGTCTAGCCTAGCCTAGGCTAGTGATCTGTCCATCAATAGCCCCTGTAGGAGCAGAAATGCCCACGCGGATAGATACACCTCAGTGCCGAGGGACTAGCATGATTTAGGATCGATATACCCAAAATGTCGAGGAATACATGTTGGTCCAAGGTGGTTTGGGGATCCTTGATCCCTGTGAACAGCATCCTCGGGGCAGGGGGGTTGGAAACCGACGAAGACGTGTCGGTATCACAGCGAGAGTCTCCATTGACGTCGAGTACACGTGTCATCATCTAGGAGTGTCTAGAAATGTCCCATCAACTGTCCCCCAGCCTTCAATCTTCTGACGCCGAGGACATGCGTTATAAGGAGACGAAGGGTTCTGCAACTGCCCCAACCACTCCATCATTGCTTCCAGCCATTTTTCGCCGCTTAGAAGGTCGTGCGCATTAAATGCGCCTCTTCGTGCTTCGTGCCTAATGATGGGGAAGGGTACTATATAAACGGGTTCTCTCTCTCTTTTCCACACTTTTGTCATTTCGAACTCAGAGAGCTTTCGCCTGAAAACTTCACCGGAGACGCTCTCTGTCACGTCGTCTACCAGTCAGTCGTCACCGGAGTTTAGACCAGCAAACACCCTCTTGGTTTTGAACCTTCTAGAGAGAGGAACCACTCCAAGCCCTTTAGAAACCTTCGTTTACGTTCTGGTGAGTCCTTGTATCTACCTTCTTTCCGTCTTTCTGGGTTTTTGTTTTTTATTCTCCGGTAACCGGAGGTGTTTCTGGTTGTCATTGTGTGACCAACCTTCAGGAAACCCCTTGGGGATCTTCATAGAAAAACTTTTTCCTTCCTTTTCAGTTTTTATCTTATTTGGAGATGCTCTGACGTCGCCCTGCCGCCGAGGATCCCCAAGCCAGGGAAGTACAAAGTGAAGGGGGACGAGCAGATCAATAGGTTTAGGGCCCAATGCCGTATCTCCCCAAACGTAGGTATAGAATAGTACGATCCAGTTTTGCATAACCGCACTCTCGGGGCTGAGGATGAGTTGCCCTTTTTCACCAAGGCAATTATAAAGGGTGAAATTAGGTTCCCCCTGCCTCCTCTACTCCTCCAGTTCCTCGCTCATTTCAACCTCTTCTCGAGGCAGTATTGCCTTAATGTCTTTAGGATAATAATGGGAGTCTTAGAGCTTAACAACCGTCTTGGGGTAAACATTGGGCTCAACGATATCCTTTTTTGCTACTCCCTGTTGAGGGTCATGCCTTAGTAGAAGTTTTACCTCAAAGCCAG